TGCAAAAGGCAGGGAGCGGCAATGATTCGCCCAAGATAGCCTCCCGCATGATCGTCTCAACTCGCCAGGGTATCGGTTTTGGATGGGCTGGTGGGGATACGCAAAGAGTCCATCCGATATTCTGCCAGTTGACATGCCACCTCGTGTTCCGAGAAGATAAGTTGGTCGAGCGGGACGATCGCATCACGATTCTAGCGACCCGATATGCAACACGCAACACGTAGCGAATTGATACGGACCTCAGCACGTAAACTGATATGAAGGTCTGACGCGATGCGTTCGCCAAAGCGTGTGCCAATACACCGAGCCAACACGCAACGTACTGGCACGGGCGCCCGGTACGCGCTGCGTTTCCAGACGGGCGTATCGAGGCAACGAAGAAGATCACGACTGCGCCGACAAAATTAGGTCGGGCCTGTCCCCCCGTGGGAGTTTTGACGAAAAATAGAAAATAGCAAAAACAAATCACCAACAAATAATTAAACATTGTCAAAAGAATAGTCCCCAGACTACTTGTTGACTATTTGTGAATAGTCCTCCTGTAGAGGGACACGCCCGACTTAAGCGTATCGAGGCAACTAAGATCACGACTGAGCCGACAGAGCGCTCAGAACAACATGTTTAAAGCCTCGGTGCGAAGGAGCTGGTCCTAGGGGGGGACGCCCTAGGGTCTGCAGGACCCCGCTCTCCTCGGGACCACTCCATCCTGCGCGGTGACTCTCTGCCTCGCCGTCGCCGTCATCGCGCAGCAGCTGTGGTCGGGGATCGAGGAGCCTCGATCTCAGCTGCTCCTCGACCACGGCGACGGCGAGACCTCCTGGGAGCCCTCCCCACTGCCCCCTCCGCGCAGGCTTCCTTGGGTCAGCGCTGGGCTCTGACTCCTTCGTGTCGCCTCTCTGTCCGCCGTCGCCGTCGACGAGGCCCCTTTCAACCGCTGAGGGCGCCCAGGAACCTCAAGAAGCATCCAGGGGGAATGCAGGAGATATCCAGGGACCGCCAGGGGCCTCCTCCAGTGCCTCCTCATATGGCACGATGAACTGACTTTAGTTGAAAAGCTGTATCGTCTAAAGTCAGGAACGTTTGCTTAGCGTGTCGCGGCGGCGGCCCTGACGACGCGCTATGCCCTGCAAACAGGTAGCTCCGCGTGGAGGGAGGCAGGAAGAGGCTCAGGACGTTGACGCTTCGGGGCATGCGACGTGGTCAGCGTGTCGCGCTGAAGCGCGGTGGGCGAGAACTGGCGGCGCGACACGCTCGGCAAACGCTCCTGGCCGCAAACAATGTCCTCCTCTTCGACTCGACCAGCCACAACTGGGCGAGCTGGGCGAGCTGCATTCCAGACCCCCTGGAGGTCCCCATCGCATCGACGACCTCTCGAAAGGGCTGTCGAAGCCCAGGGATCCCCCAGGGGCTAGTGAAACAAGCCCAGCTGCCCCAGCACGCAACGCGCCACCCACGGCGTGCTGACACGGACCTCAACACGGAGGTTGAACGCGTGGGTCTGCCGCGACACGTTACACGTTGGCCAACACGTGGGCCGGCACGCCGAGCAAACACGCAGCGTGCTCAACCCAGACGTTTGGAGCACAGCACGTGATGCGTTTCCAGACGGGCGCATCAGGGCAGCTAAGGAATCAAGGAGCTCAACCCCCATTTGCGCCTGGCCTGCCTAGTCCTCCTCCTCCTCGTTCCCCTCGCTGACCACCTCCGCCAAGCCCCGTCCGATGTCACGACCCGCACCGAAACACGGATTTGGGAAAATGCCCACCCTGCGAGGTCCCGCAGGGTAGACCCTTTCCGGAATCGTCGCTTCTGTGCGGATCGTGAGCGTGAGGACAGCGAGGCAGATGCCGACCAGCCACAGCTGGTGAAGCTCGGTTCTTTCCCCTCCTGGGGGGAGCCCATCGAGCATCGTGTCGAAGATCTCTCGAGAGGGGTGTCGAAGCCAACGGCCCCCCCCAGGGGGAGTGAGTACCACAGCTCCCCAAGTGGTGGCGGGTCTGAGAAGAATGCGAATCTCAGGAGGACCAACGCCTGTGTCGCTCGGAGGGCGTCCCGTGCAGGGAACGGCGGAAGAGAGGGGGAACAGCATCGTGAGGGGAGGAGGGACAAAAAGAGAGGAGGTGCAGGAAGAAACGGAAGGGACGAGGAGCAGGAGACCGACGAGGTTGACGAGCGTTTGCATGTTGGGTTGGAAAGAGCACGGCGTGCGCGTTTAAGTTGCCCTGCAATCGCACTTACCATAACAAAAGTGTGCTGGAGGCTTTGCCCACCAGCAGACGCGGGAGACCGAAATGTGCTGTACAATGCTCTGCATGTTCAGTCAAGGCCCAGACCTCTGGCGACTCGGAATCAAACAAACGCGCAACGGGGTCACCAACGTCGGCGTCTGGAGGCCATGGACGACGTTGAACCACCTGCACCCGGACCGTCAACGAAATTCCTCAGGATGAACAACGGGTCGTGGGGAAGCGTGGGGTCGAGAGCTCCAGGGGCCGGCGACTCTAGAAGAGTCGAGTCGCCCAAGGTCTGGGGATCCCACAATGCCGCCAGATTTCAGACGACACGACGCGATTGCCAAGCCCACTGAATCCATCTAGGGAGGGCTTGGCGAACGCGCACTGCGCAAAGAGCGACATCTGGCTCAAGCCGCAGGACTAAATGGCACAAATGCGACCTGTCCTCAGTACGCCTCGCACCAGCAGTACCGTGCTAAGTGGCCTATGAATCAGCCCTGTCCTGGTCAGGTCAGGTCAGCCGCCTTGCACCAGACGGTGCAGCATAGAATTCAGAGATGCCCTGGCGACGCTATTCCGAACGAGCTGCGTCGAACCGCACATATCACAACGGAGCAGCGGCTGCCCGAAACGGAAGGATACATCGCCTCATCGAGTAAGAAACGGAGAGCAGCGCAACGTGGGAGCAGAAGTGGTGGGGCTGCCGTATCGATATTTCATCGGCGACATAATGGTCACAGCAGAGGTGCTTAAAAGCAGCATGTCGACCCGTGCGGCAGATCTTGGAACCAGGTGACGGGGTAGTCTGTCATCGAATCCAAATCCGCGTTGGAGTGCCGACTATACATGTGGATCTCTACTGCAAATCACGCTTCGCGTTGGGGTGAAACCCAGTGGGAGGGGAGACCTACAGCAAGCTCGTGTCGTGACGACCCCGGCGCTGTTTTCTGACACCGCGTGGATGGTTCACCCGTCCACGGACCCACGGCTTTTCGATCGCGAGACCCTCGTTCCAGACTGGCCGACTCTGGGCCGCTGGCGGCGTTCAGCCTCCAACACCCGCGGAGAGGGCCGCCGCGTCGACTCGGCACGAACCTGCCGTCGCAGGAGTGGCCGGCGTGAATTGAGCAGGGACCGACCGTCCCGGCATTCCTATAGTCATACCACGAAATGTTCTTCGAACCCAAAAATGTTGTAAGAGCAGAAACAATGTTCTCAGAACATAAACCCGATGTGTCGAACCAAGACGCTCCCAGCCAGAAAGGTTCTAAGAACATTTCGTGGGAACCACAAGCGGTTCTTAGAACATTGTTTGCCAGGGCTATAGGCGAGCCAGGACGCGTCGCCACTGCTTGATGGGAGGGGAGGCCTCCTCTGGCGAGGAGCCCGGCCTGCGCCTCCGCCCTGCCGCGCCTCCGGTGGGTGCCCGGGCCCGCACGCCGAGCCCGCGCCTCGCCTCGCTCACGCGTGCGCTCCGCGCTGCCGCCCGCGCGCATCACCGCTCCTGGGAGGCCAACATCTCGCCGTCGCTCGGACGTCCATTTCCCGTGCATGTTTCGGTTTCGTGCGTGCTTTTTTGTTGCTCGATGGTCCAGGCTCGTCCTCAATGGTTCTCGCCGAGGAAAAAACACACACACACGTCCGAGCGATGCCAGGGCATCGGCGCATCCGCCGCCCGAGGAGCCGACGTCCCAGGACCCAACGGGGGGGGCAGCGGATATGGATCTCTTCGGGCCACGACGAGGGTCGCCGAGCGAATCGACAAACCGTGGCTCGAGAGCTCTGCCTGTACTCAGAATGAAAAGCGGTACGTTGAGCTTGAGGCGCCTTTGGCAATCTTGCTCAGTAAATGATATTCGGGCCCCCTAGGGGCCCCAACGACATTACCACCCCCGCCGCCTCCCGGGCCCTAGGAAGGTCGGCTCTTAAGTAGCAGGAGCAGGAGAAGGCCTAGGCCTGCAAGAGCAGGAGCAGAGAGAAGGGGGTAAGGCAAGCTCTTTTCTACCACAAGGAAAAATTAGAAAGGAGTCGGAGCAGAGAAAAGGGCATGCAAGAGCAGGAACTGCGAGGCAATCCAGGAGGGGGGTTCTCCTTGTGGTGTGTGGGCCCTCCTGCCCCGCCCGAAAAAATCTCCGATCTCTTGTTCGGGGGAAGCACCACGGGCCTCTTCGCTAGAGGTGGTCCACCTGGGGGTGGGTTGTGGTGATGTCGCTTCTTTCGGATGTGCGTTAATGGAGGGGGCCATCTCTGTTTCCAGAAAACACCTGATGATGAACACCGCCAGCTTCCCAACTGATGGGACGATGACTCCACCAAGCAAGCCTAGAGAGTGGTCGGGACCCCTATCCCGACCAGTGCAAAGTGGTGGCCACGCCCACCCGTTCGAGTGACGACAAAGAGACCCAAACAGCAATAAGGCAGAGATGCAGCAGCTGCTTAGGGAACCTCAGCCTGCACCAGGAGGCGGCAATCAAATCAGAAACTTGAACAACATATCTGCTGGCACGCGCGCACCTTTTCTGCATCTTTGGGCCCGAGGTGGCAGTTCTGGGGCACCTCTGCTGCAACCCTTGATGCCCCCACGTTCGCTGTGATCCCTGTTGCCGTCCGCGCGACCCTGCGTCCTCCCATTGATAGCCTAAGACCCGGGAGCTCCTGCTCCTGCTCTGCGAGGCAGCGAACGAGCACGGCGCTGCACTGGTTCCAGTCCTCGGGACAGTGCCGCTGCAGCTCCAGGCTCCAGCCCTCCACCGTCCGCATCAGCACCTCCAGAAAAAGAGAAATCTGCAGGGGCATGAATTTTCGGAGTCCGACTGACAGCGCTGCAAAGTATCGCAGGTGTTGTACTTGTTTATGTGCATCGAGGAGCTCCCCACGGATACGTCGTACCCCCTGTGCTTTTGTAGAGAATAACGTACTTCGTTGGTTTGAATATTTGTTGGAGCGGGCCCGAATTTCCCGGCCTAAAAATGTAGGTGGTCTCTAGACCGAGGGAGCGGACATTGTCGACGTCCAACCACCTTGCTGCAGTCGGCTTGGAAAGCCCACCACAATCGCCACTATCACCATCGCAACAACCATCATCACCATAATTATCGTCGCCTTCCCGCCGCCTTGCTGGACTCGGCTTGGAACCCCAACCACATCGCCACTATCACCATCGCAGCAACCATCATCACTAGAATAATAATAGTCATCATCAATATCATCATCATCATCAGCATCATCATCGTCACCATCCTCATCATAATCGTCATCGTCATCGTCATCGTCATCGTCATCATCATCATCATCATCATCATCATCATCATCATCATCATCACCGTCATCATTGTCGACGTCCCGCCGCCTTGCTCGGCTCGGCTTGGAAATCGTGGCGGCCTGGGCTACCCCCTTCGCACAAGGGAGGATGCCGGCTCGAGCCTAGGGGGCTGCGAGGGGAAGAAGGGAGGGAGAGGAGGGACAGTCCTGCGGCTCCATGGGAATACGATTGCTAAAACGTGCGCATTAACATGACCATACCTATACGACCACCCTTCGGGTGATACGGAGGTTCGGGGGGGGGAGGAACCAACGTCTCACTCGATCGGTCTCACTATCGATCTCACTTTCGATCTCACTATCGGTGTCGCTCGATCGATCTCACTCGATCGATCTCACAATCGATCTCACTCGATCTATTTCATTCGACCGATCTCACAATCGATCTGAATATCGATATCACAATCGATCTCATTATCGATCTCACTATCGATCTCACAATCGATCTCACATTCGGTCTCGCTATCGATCTCACTATCGATGTCACAATCGATCTCACAATCAACGTCATCATCGTCAACAACATCATCGTCATCAACGTCATCAACATCATCATAATCATCATCGGGACACCATCATCATCACCTCATCACCATCATCATCAACATCATCATCACCTCATCGCCATCATCATCATCGGGACACCATCATCGTCACCATCATCATCATCATCATCATCAACATCATCATCATCAGAACACCATCCTCAACATCATCGGAACACCACCATCATCAGCATCATCATCATCTCATCATCATCATGAGCCATCTCATCAACATCATCACCATCATCGGGACACCATCATCATCATCATCATCAGCAACATCATCATCATCACCATCATCATCATCATCGAGACACCATCATCATCGGAACACCATCGTCATCATCACCACCATCATCATCGGGACACCATCGTCATCAACGTCAGCATCATCTTCATCATCATCATCATCGGGCCACCATCATCAGAATCATCATCACCTCATCACCATCACCGGAAAACCATCATCGTCATCATCATCATCATCATCATCATCGGGACACCATTATCATCACCATCGTCACAAACAGTATCATCATCAACCTCATGCTCATCATCGGGACACCATCATCGCCATTTTCATCATCATCATGATGTCATCACCATCTCATCATCATCAACATCATAATGATCATCATCAACATCACCATCATCATGACACGATCATCAGCATCAGCAGCAACATCAACATCAACATCATCAACATCATCATCATCATCATCATCATCGGGGCACCATCATCATCACCACCATCACCATCACCATCATCATCAACTTCGTCAACATCATCATCATCATCATCATCATCGGAACACCATCATCATCACCACCATCACCATCATCATCATCCTCATCATCATCGACACCACCAGCATCATCATCATTATCATCATCATCGGGGCACCGACGGGACACCGGCGGGACACCAGCGGAACACCGCGCGGCACGGGACGCTGGAAGGGAATCATTTGGTCCGGCCGCGCCTCAGCCGGAGGCGGGACACCGGCGGGACACCGCGCGGCACCGGTTGCCGGAAGGGAGCCATTTGGTCCGGCCGCGCCTCAACCGGAGGAGACTATCTTATCGCCCGCCCATGCAGTTCCGCCTCGCCCGCACGCACGGCACGCACGAACACGAAACCGATTGCCCGGTAGGGGGGCTCTCCGTTCTTCTTCGATCTTTCCCCCTCACCTCCGATCTACAAAACACGACGTCGATGCAGTAGTGTGTTGGTCTGTATGTTTGACGGACGGAGGGGGGTACAAGATCCAGCTCCTCGGTACATACATATGTTCATATACACCTACGATATCTAGTACAGGGTGTATATACCTAATTGCGTGTAAAAGTGAATATGGCCAGACGCCGTGCCAAGGGCTGGCACATGGCTTCTTGCTTCGGAGGTCCGCGCGGGTTTCTTGGTTCGGTGCTGGACCCCCCTCGCGGCGCCTCCGGTGCGCTCCGCGCTCCAGCGCACGCCGAAGAAACTCATTGCGGCCCTCCGAAAGCCTATGCTCACGCGGACTCCGCTCTTCAGCCACGCGCAGAGGGGGGAGGGGCAGGGCAGGGGGGCAGGCTTCTCAGAAGCACCCCCGCTTCTTGGAAAGCGCGGGCCTAGTTGCATGTTGACGCGCAGCCGCTGCATTTTTAGCTTCCGAATGGATGAATCTCGATGCGCGAGGCGCAAGGCGAGCGACACTATGCATTCGAATGTACAATTTTTTGCGTTGCTGAGCAAAAGACAGTAGGTAGCAACTCGCGCGATGTCTCACCACTTGAACATGGGAGGCACTATCGTGATTGACCCGCCTCCATGGCGCCTGCATGCCTTGCAAGTCTTCAAACCTTTCCAGCCGACCACGCGGACGTCCCATCCATCGCAAATGTCCACCATGCATTTTTCGCAATTGCACGTGCGCACTGCGGACAGTTGCTTGCAGACAGCACGCTCGTATATAACTGGTGGTGGTTTGGAAACTTGACGAACGCCCCGCCATGGCAATGATGATGTCGGTCGTGTGCACCAGCTGCAAGTCGTCGTCGGTGGGGGCCACGGTCAGCACGCCGAGCCGATCATCGTAGCGAGTGGTGTCCCAGATTGAAACCAGCGACACCATCGTTCCGTTTACAGCAGCGTGAAAGCAAACCTCTCCACAAGCCTTGCCACCATTGGCAACGGACAGCAACGCGATGTCGCGGGGCTGGCATGTCGACAACGTCGACACCCGAGCTTTCAGAGCAGTGGTCGTGCTGTTCCGGGGGAGGCGCTGGCCGAGCTTCTCCTCAAGGAAGGCGTGCATCTTCTGAGGTGCCGCCTTGGGGCACACCAAGTGCGGCGAGAGGTCGAACACGTTAGTGCTGTGTGAGTTTGCCAGATGCAGGCATGTGACCTCGGACAGCACGCTCCTCTCAGAAGCTTCCAGCTGGCGCATATCATTGCAGAACCGCTTGGGCACTCTGTGCTTTCTCTCGTGTACAAAGCACGACAAAAGGCATCCGAACTTGATTGAGTGCCTTGGGAAATGGACGAGCCAGTGGGACTTCGGCGCCATGTATTCCTGCCACCCTGCTGCTTCACAAGCATCCAGAAACGCGTTCGCCCTGTCCCTGAGAGCGCCAGCAGACGCGCGGGATGGCGCTGCAGCTCCGATGCACCACGCCAAATCACACAACCGAGCAAAAGCGGCGCACTCCGCGCGCGCGACACCTGCAGGCCACATAACGGCCATCACATACGTATACACAAGCGGCAGCAAAGACGACGCCTCACTTGCCTGGCACTTAAACGCTTTCGCCTTGCCGCTGGCAATCTCGCGGGTTTTCTGCTAAAAAAAACCTTAGCCAAATGTCCAGCGCCCCCGCGCGCGATGGGCAGTGCCCGCGTACCGATATATGCCTCGTGACATGAGTATACGTTGGACAACCCATTACGCTTGCAACCAGCAAGAAAGAGGCGCGTCAAAATGTTGAAAACACCACCAAGAACACTTGATTGTCGAATCAAAAACGCGCGAAGAAAATAGCATAAGGATAATACGTATAAGGTGGGGAGAGTATGTTGGGATCGAGGGGTTGGGTTCGGGGGGGTCGGGGGGGGGGGGGGGGGGGGGGGGGGGGGGGGGGGGGGGGGGGGGGGGGGGCGAACGCGCATCATGCTCATCCTCCACTCCTACCAATCCCCCTCCCAAGCCCCCTCCAATCCCCATCCCCTTCATCATCTTCCCACCCTCTGCAGGTTACCCGCTCTCCTTAGAATTTGCAAGCCCCCCTGCGGGCATTGAAATTAGCGTTGGTGTCCGTCGCGTGGAACTCAGCCAGACGCCGCACGCTGCCCCTGATGTCATCAGTCGTCGAAAAATCGATGTCACGCTCACGCGTGACGTCTGCTCTCAGCAGGGCCGCGCCATCTTCGTCGACCAGCGAGCTGGCCATCGCAATTGCATTGCGGAAATGCATGCAGCATTTGGCACCAGCATCTCCTTTCATCAGCCAGACCAACTTCTGGGCACCGCCGACCTGGAATACCATCCCAAGTTTGCAATGTAACCTGACACCAGGCCCCAATGAAACGCCCGTTGTGCGCAGTGAACAATCCGACATACCAACTAAACTTTTTTATAAGCATTGCGAATGCCTGCGCGGCGCCTGCTTGCACATTGGATACACGTTTTGACCTCAATGCGCCTGCGCAGAACCACGCATCTTCTTGCGACAACATTTCTGGCCCCAGTTCCAAAAACGATACGCAGAACACCCACATCTTCCTTGAGTTGTCTGGAGATAATTTGTTGCCTGGCGTTGCTTCGCCAGAGTAAGATATCAACGACCACGGTCGCTCAAAAGAGAACGGCCTCGCCGCCAAAGTGTTTTGAATGGGGGCCCGCCAACTGCTGCATTGGG